CCCCCCCCCCCCCCCCCCCCCCTCGCAGCCGGACATCATCTGCGCCACCATCACCTACCAGGTGACACAGCACATCCTCCGGAGCGGCTGCCTCCGGGGCGGGCTGCCCCTCAATGGGGTCGAGCTCTTCGAGGCGGCCGACATCGCCCGGGTCACCCAGCCGCTGATCTTCCCGGTGGCCGAGCTCATCCTCGGGCACCAGCCCACCATGGACCGCCTGCGCCGGCGGGTCATGATCGACAAGATGGTCAAGAATGACTCGCTCTCCGGGCCGCCGAATACCACCTCCCGGTCGCATCGGGACCCGGCCGCGCGCGGGGTCGATGGGACTCGCATTTTCCACGAGATCGCCGAGGACCAGGGCCCGCGCGCCAGCATGGAGGACCGGCTAATTGCCCTGCCCTATGTGAATGAGCTCTTCGGGCTGTCGCTGCCCCAGCGGCTGTCCTTCTATGCGGTGCTCGATGGCCATGGCGGCCGGCGGGTGGCCGACTACGCCACCGAGCTCCTGCCGGTCCACATCTTCCGGTCGCCGGTGCTCGGCGAGAGCCTGGAGCAGGCCATCCGCGGGGGCATCCATTCGACCAACGAAAATTGGAAGGGCAAGGTGGCCCGCGAGTCGATGGTCGTCCCGCCGAAGGCGGTCAACTCCCTGCGCGGGGCCGGGGCCACCCTGGCCGCGGCGCTGGTGGTCGACTCGGCCGAGGTCATCGTCGCCTGGGTCGGCGACTCGCAGGTGGCCCTCTTCTCGCCGTACCAGTGCCCGGCCACGGTGGCCGCCCCGGCCGGCCTGCTGGAGGACCCCCTCCCGGCATACACCCCGCACATTGAGCCGCTGCAAGTGGTGGCCCCCCACCGGGCCAGCGACCCGGCCGAGCAGGATGCCGTCGTGGCCCGCGGCGGCTTCGTGTCCATGGTCGGCGAAACGGCCCGCGTCAATGGGATCCTGGCCGTGCCGCGGGCCATCGGCGATGTCCAGCTCCACAGTGTCATCACCTGCGACCCGACCATTCGCACGGTGCGCCTCGGGGCGTCCCCCTTCCGCGGGGGCGCCGGGGCCGGCTCCGCCGACGGGGGGGCCTCCGGCTCCCCCGCCTCCCCGGCCCCGGCCGCCGCCGCCGCCGGCGCCACCACCTCCACCACCCCACCCGGCACCATGGCCGGTTCCTCCTCCTCCTCCGCCGCCGCCGCCGGCGCCGGCGCCACCTCGCGCCACCACCACCCGTCGCTGGTTTTGACCCCGCAGCATCCGCTGCTGGGAGGCCACTCGCCGATGGATGACGCCGGCGATGGGGTGCTCTCGCCGGACACGCCCCGGGCGCCGGGCGCCGGCCCGGAGCCCGAGAACCGGATTCTCGTGGTCCTGGCCTGCGATGGGCTCTTCGACACGCTGACCCCGGCCGAGTGTGCGCCGCTCATCGGCGACCACCTGGGCCGGAACTTCGGCTCGGCGCAGGGCCTGGCCGTGGCGCTGACCCGCTTCGCCCGGGCCTCCGGCTCGACGGACAACGTCTCGGTGCAGGTTCTGGAGTTCAGTTGATTCTGTGTGTGTGCGCGCGCACCATCGCGCCATTGCCGCTGCAGGTGCCACCACCGTGCTTTGTGCGCCCTGCCCGGCTCTCTCCCGCCCCACCGGCGTGTGTCCCCTGTCCTTGTATCCGATCTCCCTCCCCCCCCCCTCATTATGTAATAATACGAAACCCCTCTTCATGTCTGTCCCCCCTCGCCCCCCGGCCTCCCTGTGTGGTGGCATGTGCGCATGCGCCGCCTCAATGGCCTTCATTTGAGAGCATATTCCTTCCGTGGCCTTCCTCTCCCAGGGACAGGCGGGCTGGAGGGAGAGGGAGAGAGAGAAAGAGCAACAGAGGGGGGTCTATTGTTATGCACACAAGGTCGAGAGGGGAAGGGGCGGATCGGACAAACAAGCACATGGCCCATCTCGCTCTAGGCCGAGATGACCTTGCCCTTGTTGATGGGTGGCTGCTGCGGGTGGAGGCCCAGGTCCACGGGCTCCCCCGGCATGGTATCCCCCCCGCCAGGGCCGGCGGGTCCGCCCTCCGCCTGCTCGGCCTTCGCCACATGCTGGGTGGCCAGGCTATCCAGGGCGGCGAGCTGCTCCAGGATGGCGTCCTCCAGCAGGGGAAAGTCCTCCACCTGGCTGGGGACCATCTGGCGAAGGGCCTGCAGCTTCTTGCCGGCCGGCTTGAGGACCACCAGCGTGCGGGACTTGTCGTCGGCATCCGAGCCTGTTGGTGGACGCGCACGATGGCGGCGGCAGGGGATGGCGGAAGGGGTGAGGCGCGCCAGTGGCGGGAATCACGCCGGAGTTAGAACCCTGTCGCCAACGGTGCCCCTGGCCGGGAGCAAGCTGGCAGAAAGAAAAAAAAACCCGGGAGGGAGGGGACCCCCCCCCACCCCCCCCAAGCGACCGGGCCGAAGGACCGCAAGAAAAGGACGCACTCTTGGAGAGGAGCGAGTGGAAGGAGGCAATCGCATGGATGATCTTCCGGAAGCGCGAGTCCAGGTGCGTGTACTGGAGATTGCCCTCGGCGTCGATGGTGCCCAGGGATTGCGGCTCGAGAGTCGGCACGGTCGGCGGCGACTGCGCGCTGGCCCAGAGCAGCGCGATCACATCGACCTCGAACCTGCTGACGGTGGCCTGCACCGCGCGCCATCGACCCCCACCACCCCCCGGGAAGAATGCGAGGTCAGGACCGGAGTGAGGGGCCAGCAGAGGCCGCGAAGGGGAACAAAAAGAGGAGGAAGAAGAAAATGGGCCGCCCCCATGTGCGCACGCACCAGGAGCATGGCCCCCCCGCGCAGGAGCATCTGCCGAGTCGAGCGCGTCAGCCGGCAGTAGAATCGCGCCTCCAGGGAGTCGGGCAGGAGGTCCTCGCTCGGGCCGAGGTCCCGGTGCTGGCGGCCGGCCGGCCCGGCGGTGCGAGCCGTGTTCAGGAAGTTGATGATCCGGTTCTGCTGGGCCTCGGGCAGCTTGCAAAAGTTGTACCACGACTTGCGCAGGACCCGGTTGGAGGTGAGCTGCTGCAGGGCCGACGCCCGCGGCGGGGGGGACGGACTGCGGTTGTGCAAGATCGGCACGTCGGAGTTCTTGTGGAAAAGGCTGACGTTCCGGGTGCCGGCCAGGGCGGCGGCCGGTGTCAGGGCCGACCCGGGCCCGGAGCCGGGGTCTGCCCCGCCGGCCCCATCCGCGCGCACCCGATGGAGGAGCTCGCGCTGACGGCGCCGATGGGCGCGCCGGGGCACGGCTCGCACCTGTGCCAGATCAAGGCCCTCTGTGTGTGTGTGTGTGTGTGTGTGTGTGTGTGTGTGTGCGGGTGTGTGTGCGGGTATGTATGTGCGCGCGAACGGGGAAGTGCGGCATGGTCAGCAAACGAGGAGACGGGTGGCAGCCCATCTGGCCAAGGGAAGGCCGGGGCAGCGCGAGGGGAGGGGGGGGGAGGAGGACCGGGAACAGTGGCGAGAGCATGCGTACCAAGTAGCGGCGAGCGCTGATCCCCGCCGGTGCCAAAGCTGTGTGTGTGTGTGTGTGTGTGCGTGTGCGGCGGCGTGGGGTGAGACCGCCATCCCGGAGGGCGAAGGAGGCGCCCGACCGTGCCGAGCAAGAAGAAAAGAAAGCCCACGCACCTGTCGTCGTCCTGGTCGTCGCTCTCCGACAGCAGGGAATTAATGTAGGCCGAGCTGAGGGACATCTCCAAGTCGGCGGGCAGGGGCGATTGTCTGTGTGTGTGTGCGTGTGTGTGCGTGGGCGCGTGCGCGGGTGCACGCATCCACACCCCGGGTGGTTAGCACCCCATGGCCGGCGGAGGGTCAGGGACAAAGGGCCCCACAGAGGCAGCCTCTGCGTACCCGAAGGTGGCGCTCCCCGTGCGGGAGGCCGGCTGCCCGCCGGTCGGGGTGAAGAAAACCCCGGGCGAGGTGGGGCGCGAAATGCCGGTGGCCGAGCCCGGCTGCCGGATAGCCGGGTAATCCCCCGGCACGGCGGATCCCGGCCGCGAGAGGGGCCGCGACGGGGCCACCAAATCCACGCCGGACCCCGGCCGCAGGGGGAATGGCGCCGTAATGCCCGCCGCCGAGGCGGTGCGCGAGGCCGGGCGCGAGGTCGGGCGCGAGGTCGGGCGCGAGGCCGGGCGCGAGGTGGACGGTGAGGGGGTGCCGGAGCTGCCCTCGGTCATCAGGGAGAACACATGGCTGGGGTCGTTCTCGGGAGGGGGCTGCATGGTGTGTGCGTGTGTGCGTGTGCGTGTGCGTGTGCGTGTGCGTGTGCGTGTGCGTGTGCGTGTGCGTGTGTGTGCAAGGGCAGGGGGAGGCAGATCAGAAGCGCCGGAGGGGACAGGGAGAGGAGGGCCTGGCGGTCAAGAGGGGGAGGGAGAGGGGGCGGCTGTGCCTGGGGGGGGGGGGGATGGGCACAGGGCAGACCCCGCGGCGCCCGCCGGGGCGGCCCTTCTGTCTCCCGCCCTCCCCGTTGGCTCTCGTCC